AAAAGTTGGCCGTTTTTTCAAAAATAGACATTTCAAAGGCGAAAAAAAAAAACGCATTCAATTTTTTTTCTACTTTGAGGCGGTTTTAGTTAGCTCAAATCGAGTAGAACATGCTCTGAAATTTTCACGATATGACCCTTTTTCATTTTCAAATAAAACGATTTCAAAAATTGGCGATTGCGATTTTTTCAAAAAATGGTCATTTTCAAACGGCTATATCTCTAGTTTTAATGCATCGATTGAGATGCGCTGTATCTTAAATGAAAGGTCTTAAAAAGACAAAAAAAATTACATGCGGTTGGTTCAAAAATATTAAAAATTGACCAAGTTACAGTACTCGGAATATGAGCATCAAATTGACCCTAAAAAGCGTACGAATATCGTCAGAGTACACCCGGTAACTGTCACTTTTTATAAATGAACAATTTTTTTCTTGAAAGTATAAAAGTAGGCGAATCAAATGAGATGTCGCATATTGAAAAATATTGAAAACTCGCGGAGCTACGATTTTTCAAAAAGAGCCAAAAACAGGCAGATTTTCAGACTTTGAAAAAATATATATGGACATATATATATTTTAACGAAAATCTGAGATAGCCAAAAGGCTTCTTTTGACATACTCTATCATAGAAAAAATCGCCGAGAAGATGGGCTGACCCCCCTGCGCAGCCAATTTTAAAAAACTTCTGGAATCACCCATATATATATATATATATATATATATATATACAAGTATATATATAAATACGAGCACTCATGGCCTGCAAGCTCCGGTTAGAGTTGAAGTTGAATACTGATAATTCAAAATCTAATGATAGGCGACCTTTGTACCCTTGGAGACTTTTGATATACATGATAAGATTCACTTGAATCTAAAGTTTGAACTGATTGGATAGAAATTTTTTTCCTATTTGTTTTATGCAGGCTTTTGTGAAAAATAGGTGAAGTGAATATTTTAGTTATTAGAAATTTGTACATTAATTCTTTCCATATGATACTCTTTGATAAAACTTATTTTTACTAAAACTTATTCATATTTACTATTATTTTATCTTCTTAAAAACTTATTAAGACTTCTAAAAAGTTGAGAAATAAAAATTAAATAATTGTGTTATTTTATTATTCAATGTTTTAAAATGGACAAAAAATATAGTAGCAAAATTGGTTATCATGTATAAGCATATTTCTACTATTTATGAAATGAATAATAAGAAATAAATATGTCTGTTAGCCGTAGCGTTGAAATATAATTGCGCTATTCCAAGGCTCCTAAAAATGCATTTTTATTGTTTACTTATTGTATAATGGGGAAATAATGGGGGAAAATTTATTAACTTCCCGCTCATTATTTTAAATATGTTAAAAGACTAAACACCGCATCGATGTTGAATGTTGCTGTAGTATGTATTGACTACTGGCTGCATGAAAAATGAACGTAAAATCATCTTTGCGTTGCATGCATTTTCATTACAGAAATGGTTATTTGCTCTCCTTACACACCGTCAACTTGCAGGTCTTTCCTCTCTTAATTCTATCATACTATCTTTTTTAGGATCTACTGCTTTAAAAATATCTGAGAGTACGCTTATGGCATGTTTACATAGTATTGTCGGTCTGTGTTCCGTCTCTATATATCTAATTGTCTCTCTTTTATTCGTTCTATAGGTTCAGCACGTGCTATCGATACTCACTCTCACGCCAATCGCATAGTAAAACACCCATTTAAATACGCACTTTGTGCCGCGTTTGCCAACCATTGTCTAACTTACATAAAAATGAAAACAATAAATGTGAAAACTTAAATATTAAAATTTAGTTCAAGCCAATACGTTTTAAGAAAGTATTTAAATTATAAGCAATCATACCAAGCTAACAAATATATGGCTAATTATGAGGGTGGTCCGATAAGTACTTAGCCTCACCGCCCGATGGCGCCACTCTCGCAAAAGAAATATTCTATCACGTAGTACAACCTTCTCGATGGTTACTGTCAAGATTTCAGCCGGATCGGAGTTATAGTTTATTTTTGAAAGCGTATGAAAGCAAGTGTGTCCGTTGATTTTTGAAAAATGGAAAAAGAGCATTATCGTTCGGTGATTCGATTCTAGTTTTTGGAAGGGAAATCGCGCAGCGAAATTAAAAAGCGCTTGGATGCTGTGTACGTTGACTCTTCTCCTTCGATGGCGACCGTCAAAATTGGTTTAACGAGTTTCAACATGGTCTCACGTCGATTTTTGAAGAGCCACGTCCAGGTGCTCCGAAAACGACTACCACGGAGGATAACGTGACAAAAATTCACGATCTCGTATTGGCAGATCGACGATTGAAGATGCGCGAGATAGCTAAGATCGTAGGCATCTCAAAAGACCGCGTGGGTTATGTCCTGCATGAAATTTTGGGCATGAGAAAGCTGTCGGCGCGATGGGTGCCGCGTTTGCTCACTCCGGACAACAAGCGCAACCGTGAAACAACTTCAGAGCAATGTCTGACGCTGTTTAAGCGCAATCCGGAGGAGTTTCTGCATCGCTTCGTGAAAGTCGACGAAACATGGATCTACTGGTATACACCAGAGACCAAGGAACAGTCGAAACAGTGGACTTTACCCGGTGAAAGTGCTCCGAAGAAGGCGAAGACTGCTCCATCGGCCGGAAAGGTGATGGCCACCGTTTTCTGGGATTCACAAGGTGTGATCTACATCGACTACCTGGAGAGGGGCAAAACGGTCACAGGGCTGTACTATGCCGAATTATTGGGCCGATTCGACTTCGAATTGCGGAAAAAACGGCCCCATTTGGCGAAGAAAAAAGTGCTCTTCCACCATGATAACGCACCGGCTCACACCTCCATGGCCGTCGCCATGGCCAAATTGGTCAAATTAGGCTACGAACTGCTGTCCCATCCACCGTATTCTCTAGATTTAGCCCCGTGCGACTTCTTTTTATTTCCAAACTTGAAAAAGTCACTCGCCGTATAGAAATTTGAGTTGAATGAGGAGGTAATCGCTGCCTCGGAAGCCTACTTTTAAGACCTCGAGGAAACGTATTTTTCAGACGGGTTGAAGAAGTTGGAGCATCGCTGGGCCAAGTGTATCGAACTAAAAGGAGACTATGTTGAAAAATAAAACGCCTCTTTTCCAAAATTTTCGTTTTTCTTTTGTAGACTATCGGACCACCCTCGTACATTACTTATTTTAGCAGTAGATTTTTTTGAAATAATCTTCTTCTATAAAAAGTTTTATATTTTGAAAATTTTCTCATTCGTATTTATATATTATTGTTATTTAATTTTCGTATTGTCGACGTAGTAACGCGTCATAAATTGTATCGTAAACAAGCGATATAACTTCAGAATTTATTGAGCCTCAATTGGCATACCTATTTTTATAATCCATTCAAATAACACAAAAGAACATTTGTTTACATGAGAATTTTATTTAGATAAGTAGCATCATCATTATTCAATGAATAATGCTTTTATTTATCAAAAATCATTAAGAAAATTTGAGAAGCTGCTATGTTTACTTAGCTTTTCGTACAAATCCATATTTAAAAAAAAATAATTTTTGGTAAATAACATGACATGAATATCATTTATAATTTTATAAGTAAAAGAGTAAGCTTATTATATATTATTTTTTGGAATTTTTCGGATCTGCAGAAATCGGAATGGAAGTACAAGTTGGATAGAATGATTGCACAGGTCCACAAAATTTAACGAATTTTTAGTTACAAAAACTAGAGTATACTTTCCCGAAGCATTTTGGTGTGCTGAATCCGAATTTGACTACAGAATTGCTCGATCACGTCTAGTTTTCGACATATTCTAGCCTAAAAGTGTGAAAAAAGAGGTTGTGGTCCATTTTTGAGGTTATGTAGCATCGTGAAAACGATTTTTCAGCCAAAAACCGTTCAAACCATTTTAAAGTATAGGTTTCCACTTTACAAATCGTGTTGATTTTGTTCAGATATCTTTTTTTTGCTGAGATGTTGCATTATAAAGTTTCATAGTTTTCAAATAGCCTACAAACCATATACTTATTTAGTATAACAGAGAATCCGAATTCATTATATTGTGGGATGTAATTATTCTATAACAAAAACTATTTTATATGCTACCTCTAGATTTAGTTAAATTTGACTGCTTGTGAATTAAAAGGGGTGGGATTTGTAGGGGTGGGTCGAGTTTGGGGTGTGTAGGATTTAGTCTATAGGGTTTAAGGTTATTGGATTTAGGGTTGCTAAGTTTGGATTGTCAGGTTTGAGGATATTGAATTCAAGTTTAATTATTTGGGATTCGTGAATTCGGATTCTCTGTTATACTAAATAAGCACATGGTTTGTAGGCTATTTGAAAACTATGAAACTTTATTTAACAAACTTAACACGATTTGAAAGGTGGAGACCTATACTTTAAAATGGTCTGAACGGTTTTTTGGCTGAAAAATTTTTTCATGCTACATAACCTCAAAAATGGACAAAAACCGCTTTTTCATACTTTTAGGTTAGAATATATCGAAAACTAGACATAATGGAGCAATTCTGCGGCCAGATTCGGATTCAGTACATCAAAATGCTTCGGAAAAGTATATTTTAGTTTTTATAACTTTACCCTTGTCGGCCTGTTTTATCATCGAATTATTTTATATAATGAGCAAATCCAATTTTAATAGAATTTTGCATCGCTGAAATTTTAGAATTTTAGTAAATTCATTCATAAAGAGAGTGTGATAGTTTGAATTTATTATATATTTATATTATATATCTAACAGTAAGATAATTATATCAGTAATAAATACAATTGATAAATAAAATTCATATGTACAATAATTAATCTACACGAAGAGAAATATGTGATTGATGAATTATTTTAAGAAAATAAGATTCTATAACATAAAATAAGATGTAACTGATTACATTTATGCAATACAATTGTAATAAAAAATCGATTGCATAACTCTGATTCTAAATAACGTAAGATAATGCAATAGTTTTATATTATCAGCATCGCCAATCACACCATGCACCATAAAAACGACAAATAATAGGACAAAGATTTTTGATGAATGGATGGAAGCAAAAGGACGAATTTCTCAAAAAGCGAATAACACTTTCCAAACTTATACTAATGAGATACATAAATTATCGCCAATATTTGTAACTATTGAAGAGACTGTGAATCGAGATTTACAAGTACGTACTCCTAGTTGATTAATATATTGTTGGAATATTGATAGCAATGTTTAACCTATTATATCGATATAATTATTTATTAAAATGTTCTCTTTAATGAATGATTTATTTCATTAGTACTTTTTTTCCTTCTCAAATAATATAACAAAATTCGCTTAGTTACCAATTCTGAAAGGTGGACAAGTGAGGCGCATTCGCTCATAGTAATTGAGGAGGGGGAAGAAAGGAAAGGTAGAGAAATATAATTAACAGAAATCACACTTCAAATACCATTAAATAATTGTACCGAATTATTATTAATCACGAATTTACAAAACTTTACTCACTAATAAACATAATTAATCGAACACACCTTAACTCTACTGAACACAACGGTATCCTTAACACGTACTACGCAAATAAAGAACGAAAAACAAATTAACTAATTTACCGCGCTTACAAAAATCTAACCAACACACAGAACGTATCGCCGGGCAGGTGACCGCCTTGACGACAAACCGACTTAACCTACTTATACTAAGAGAAACCCACCCGGCGAAATATCGCCTTGACGGTACGCTACCTTAACAAAAATAATGCCGACCGTAATTAAAGCAGGTAGCCGGCGCGTTAACGCCTTGCCACCTACCTGACTCTCACACCTACTCGCTGTGCCATACCGCTGAAGAGAGAGAGAGAAAGAAAGAATAAAGAGAACGAGCCTTGACTTATCTATGCGGGAACGGGGAGACATGGCTGTGCCCTGTGGAAGGTGTTGCTAGCCGTCGCTGGGTAACTCTTCGCCGGCTCTTTCCGAGTAGCATCCCTGGGAAGATGCTGGTAACAAGACACTTGTCCTTTTTTTTCGCCTGGTTTCTCGTCTCAGCTCCTTGGGTAGCTTGTGTGTTCGATTGTCCTCTAACTCTGCACACTGCACTGACTGTACCGCTGACCGACTAAAAACCATCTCACCGCTCGTTCGCTTCCGCAATCGACAGCTTCTTCGCTTGCTCTTTCTCTCCCCACTTGACCTATTTATTAGGTGGCGCGTGATCAATGCGTTAATTGGTTACGCGTCGCGCACCTACCTAATCTTGCGTGGGGCACGCACGCCCCTCTCCCTCTCTATCTCTCTTTTTCAAACACCTCTCGTTGTCATACACTTTATGACTTCGGGCCGGCTCAGCCTCACTCGGCAATCTTTGTTGGGTGAAACAAAGACCATGCCTTAGGCGCATTCTTAAATGCTCCCAACGCTGGTCACCATGCCTTGCCGAGAGAGGGGGAATTAGGGAAAAATACTGACGAGAACAAATGCAATGCTTGCTCTCGTCACAATACATTGGAAATCCTTAATATTCAATTCGCTCACCAATGAAAATAATCGTGAAGACGACAATAAAATAATTAAGGGATATTAGGTATGTAATATATTTATTGTTTATTATATAATATATTTATAATATATTTATTTATAAAATATATAATATATTTATTTATAAAATATATGATACATTTATTTATTAAATATATAATATATTTATTTATAGAAAGACCGGTCTACTTATCGAACCGATAGCCACTGGCTAATACTAGCACCGTATAAATTAATGAAACACGTCGTGAAGTGTACTCTTGCTCGAGCAGTGACACAAAAATCTTTTATTGGAAGTTTAGATACGAAATAATGTTAGTCATACGGATTGAAAATAACGCATCGCAAGTTTGACTCTTGTGTTCTTTCTTGAGTGGCTTTTAGCGTCGCGCGCCGTAGTATCTATGCCTTTAGTTTACGTAATTCTTTTATGTGGCATAAATTTAGAGAAAGATGACTTTGTCTCACGGTCTGGACGAAAACGCACTATAAGCTTCGTCATGAAGCTTACGATACAACGTTGATTGCAATAACGATATATCCTATCATCGCCGGAGGCAGTATATGCCGCGTGGCTATCGCGTTTCAATGTTCGTATTGGTGAAAAAGGTGTTGTGTTACTATAATAAATAAACATGAAATCATGCAATATGTTAACGCTATTTGAAGGTTTCGGGTATACGAAGTCTGTCCGGAAAGTATCGGGCCTACGTTACACGACCCATAACACGTCTGAGCCCGTCGGCCGTTGTCCATCGACTGAAAATAATGACAAACGGAAGGATCGGACATCCTTATACAGAATAATACATATACATGACATGATTATTCAGTGAATGATGTGATGAAAGGAATTTCCGTGACTTTATATTGGTACTTGATTTAACCCTTGTTTTCTATGAGTAAACTAAAGTTTGTCAACTGACCACCAGAAATGTTCTATATTGTATATTATAGTGAGCACATATGTGCTTGTGTACTTAGTCTAGGTAAGGCGCGACAAAATTATCAAGCTGCTACTTGTCGTTCCTTAATAGTTCTTGTGTTTCAATTTCTTTCGTTACATAAAACATTTCTTATCTATCATTCTAATAATGGTTTTACATACTTTTATAGTATAAGGTTACGTAGTTATGAGAATATAGGTAAACTTAAGTATACATGAGAATTCTAATTAACTTCTTCTGCTTATCGCACTCTTTGGTGTTCTTAGATAGTGACCCAGGAATCAAGCATCTACATCATTCTTGATTATGTAATGGCTCTCATTGTATTGGAATGCTGTTAGCGAGTGCTACTTGCAATATATTAGCCATCTTTGTAGCCATCATTTTTTATAAAAGTTTTCGTAATCATCATTATTAACTGTGACGTCGGTTGACGAGACATATTTCTCAGGCGCACTTTTTGGTCTATCCTTTCAGACAATAATCGGGATGTGCATTGCCACTATCACGGGAAATTCTCTTTCCGGTGACGGAGGATTGAAGCTGTACTATACCACACGCTTGGCAATATAGTTGTGCTTCACGTTATTTTACCACACTCTTGGCAATGAAATAACGTAACAGGAAGCCTATTTAATATGCACTCGACCACACGCCTGGCAATCGAGTGTAACTATCTAAAATAAAAAAAAACGGTACGCGAAACTAAGAAAGAAAAGAATGAGGAAAGAAATGAACCGAATTAGAGTTTTGGGTATTTTATTAAATTCGTTTACTTACTTTTTTGTACTTATTTCCCACACACACGGAGGTCCTTTTTATAAAATACCGAACTGGAATGAACTGGGATAAAAACTGCCTATTTTTCTTCAAGAGCTTCCTTTTATGCTTTTCGCAAGAGAGGTCCACTCTAAATTTCTTGTCATTTTTAGGCAGGAAGAACTCAAATTTTCCTGATTTAATTGGTTGAAAAATTTGGTGAGTGTCTCAAGCGTAAGTGGAATTCAAACCCTGATTGGTCGGGGGCAGAGTATGCGGGAGTGGCCACATTCAAGTGTTTGGGCCCTCTTCACACAGATGACCCTCTATGTACTAATTTCATCTTTAATTATTTAAATTAATTGTGTGTGTGTGGTACTCTAATCTTGCTAATACAAAAATATTATTTAGTCTATAATAAAACTAAAGTACAGAACAAAAGTTAAGGATTATATTTATCTGGAAACAAACAAGATTTTAATAGTTTTAACCATTAATTAATTTACCAAAAATCCATAAGAAATACTGGAAAATTGGAGTTAATTATTATGAATATAATCATTAAGTTTCGTTCAAGCCATTCTTAAATTTTTTAACGCAAAGTTGAGTGTATTCAACGATTAAACACACGAAATTCACAATTAATACAGAAATGAATTATTATATATTTCTATATTTATATTTATATATAAAACTAAAGCTATTCGAGCAATAAACAAAAACTATTAATCAAAATAGTCTTTTGTTAATTACTTGAAAACTACATGAAACAGACAAGTCTCGCATATTTTTGACAGATCTGCAAGCAAATGTGAAAGGCCAGAAAGGTCATCCCCGTCCCTTGCCGCCCCGTATCCGGTTGAATAAAATAAAAACAAACGCGCTCTATATAAAACAATTACCCCTTTTCATGTCCAAACAACCACACCGGAGATATTGGCAAAACAAACTTGACAAACGCGATCCGACGACACTCAAAGAGAAGAGAGAAAAAAAGGAGCACACCACGGAAAAAGAGAGCGCACGCACACACTCACTCCCGACCACGTGGCCGACCGGCAAAAGAAAACGGAAAAACTTGACTGGGAAATGCAACGGAAATGCATGTTGATGACACATGCAGATCCGTTACACTCCCAGACATCAACACTAATACTCACAAAGCGCTGACACTCCTGGGGCGAGCAGAAAATCGCCGATGAAGTGGCAGCCGGCAATCAGCTGTGTCGGGTTGCCGAACACCATCGGCGACATCCTGAGCGCCACACACAAGCACAACAGCGACCACACAAACACCCGGCAATACGTCACTCAACCGACACGGGAGCGTCCCAGGAGGCGCTCCAACAACCGATATAGGAACACGAGGCGTATGCGCGACAGACCGAGGGGACATTTTGAAACGCCGAGACAGACTGAGACAGAGCGAGCGAGACAGAGCGAGCGGAATAGACTAAACAAGAGCGAGCGAGACAGATGATATGAAATGATAAATAGAATAATATGCAAATGCGAGAATGAGGGCGCTACAAATGAAACGACGTATATTATATACGTATTCATGACAAATTAAAATTATAATTGAAAAAGAATGAAAATGGAATAGATACCGAATTGTAAAATTCGCATGCGACCGACACCCCTATTATGATAGCGAGCGACAACTACCCCGTTAGGTTTAAGCAATAAATTAACCGACAGAATTCGAACCTCTGACGAAATTCGCTAGTGACGTCACGACCAATCAGCGAATTAGAATAAAATTTGATTTCCGTCCTGATAGAAAAATAGATAAGAGTAGGGGTAGGTCTTTTCCGACAATTAATGATAGCTACCTTAGTGGGGGGGTGAGAGAGGGTAAATAACGACGAAAGTAGGAGAGTTAAGGAGGGTGCTGTATCCTTCTAATTTACATACGGACCAATGATAAAATATTCGGA